CTGGATTGCCGAGCGGACTGATACATGACCGCGTTGGAGGGCAAAGCATGTCCGAACCGCGTGGTCCAAACGTTTGCTGGCGGTTTAAGGGTCGGCATTGGAGATGCCCTTGTTGCCTTGGACTAAAACAAAAAACTCCATTTTATGAGAGAGATAATCCTACTTGGCAGGCAGCAAGAGTACAAGCAGGAGAGAATAAATTGAGAAAGAAACACAAGCAACAAAAACTGGAGATAAAGCAAAAGGGATGAACCAAAGAGCGGAAAACTGGAAACCATAATAGACAATACAATATATATACTCCAATAATAATAATTAAATAATAAATAAAGGAAAGAAAAAGAAAAGCTAGCCCTACTACCGCCCTATCCCTCGTTCTCTCCTTCCATCTGTTGTACGGTCCCCGTCCGTTTCCCACATTTTCCGCTTCCCCCCATCCATCCCTCCATTAACTCGTCTCCCGATCCCAACCCCCACGAAAATCCCAAAAATATTCAGAGAAGCAATCCCTAGTCCCCGAATCCAACCTCGAGGAGTATCCCGATTCGCTTCCGATCAGCGCCAACTCGATCTGCGGCTTCATCTCAGGCGGTCCCAGGCGCGCAGTCTTGGCTCGGGAGATCCGGGATCCCGTTCTTGGGTGTTCTGGGCTCAAATCTTGCGGCTTCTGGGCAATGTGATTAGGCCAAGGGGCGATTTTAGGCGCAGCCGTTCCTGAATCTCTCGCTGGGTTGCAAAGATGGAGCATGTGATCGGGGGGAAGTTTAAGCTGGGCAGGAAGATTGGGAGCGGATCTTTCGGGGAGCTGTATCTTGGTACGGTCCTCGTGGTGTTCTTAGATCTCTCATCTGTTTCTGTCCGTTCGTGTTGCCAAGCTTCATATCTGGTTGGCTTATTTTTCACAAGGGTGATTAATTTGGTTGCAGGCGTGAACATACAGAGCAGCGAGGAGGTGGCTATCAAGTTGGTATGTGATGAAAAAAACCCGATTCTGTTGTAAACCTTTTCATTTGTTAATATACATATGCATGTTTTCATGTGGTGTTAACTAAATATATGTATGTAATTTGTGAATACATTATGGTCCATCACTAATCAGAAATGTTTTGGACATCTTATTTAGTATCATGCTCTTTTCGTATGAGTAGCAACTCGCAACGAGGAGTCTAGAATTTCTGAACACTACAGATTCGCTACAGGCAAACTGATCTACTCCTTCCGTTCCGAAATAGATGACTGAACTTTATACTAACTTTAGTACAAAGTTAGTACAAAGTTGGGTCATCTATTTTGGAACGGAGGGAGTATTAGAGATACGCAGAACTAGGGAACTAGAAAAGGGACAAAGTGTTTGCTGCTCCCAGTTGGAAGTTCAATTTTTATTATCTGTTCATTTAAGTATGTTTGTACACCTTTGTGTGGGTTACAGGAGGGCAGACAAATACAAACACCATACAACATTCTTAGCATGTTGTGTACTCTTTCAACATTCTACGAGTCAGGAATGACAACAGTACTGTTACATCAAGTAATAGTTAACAAAAGAAACACTATCCTTAAATCTTTGGCTATCAGTGGCAGTTGAAATCCATCTATCTAATTCAATCTTTCAAGGAAGAGTGAATTGCGCAAAACCCCTATGTTCAGCGAAACTTATAAGTTATAACACTTCCGCACACCTATTGGATTTTTTCCCAGCAAAAACTCATCTCCGAAGAACCATGCTCTGAACATGCGATTCTATACTTTCTGCTGTTCAGTTATTTCAGTACAATGTGCACTTGTTTAGTAGAATTTTCCGTGGAAGTAGCATTCTTCATAAATACTGTTAGTTGTTTTCTTACAAAATGAGCCAATGGTCCCTTGCTGTCTCCTAAATGCTGGTGTTTTATTATAGAGCCTGATGAAATTTGTGGTTTCTTAATTGCTTAATTTCTACCTCCGCATGTCTTGGATTGTGGGCATAGATGAAGCAACATCTATGCTCTGAGAAAGTGTAGGTAATAATGAAATAATAACAGTTTTTTATAACTTGAACATATAACTTTGCATGAACATGAATTCTGAGTGTTATGGCTGGTTACTGCCCGTGCAACTGCTAGCATCTGGACATCCTAACTGACTGTATCTCACCATATTTGTTAGGAATCTGTCAAATCAAGGCATCCTCAGCTTCATTATGAGTCAAAACTATATATGCTTCTGCAAGGGGGGAGTAAGTAGCAATACAATAACTTCCTTTTGAACGAAAATTGATACGAGAACTTGCTTTCATCCTTTTTTTAATGATTCTGATTTAATGTTCAATTACAAACTTCAGTGGGGATTCCTCATCTGAAGTGGTTTGGAGTGGACGGGGAGTACAATGTCATGGTCATTGATCTTCTTGGTCCAAGTCTGGAGGACTTGTTCAACTATTGCAACAGAAAATTTACCCTTAAAACAGTACTTCTGCTTGCTGATCAGATGGTGAGTGCTTACTGTATGATTTCATTTTGGCTGTTAATATTGGCCACCTGTCCTACAGAATGCCAATGAATTTTTTTATCTGGAAACTCAAATCTCTGAGTCCTTACTTGGCTGATCCTGACAAGTTGATGTATTCCTTTATTTTTACACAGATCGCCAGGGTAGAGTACATGCACTCGAGGGGCTTTCTTCATCGTGACATAAAGCCAGACAACTTCCTTATGGGTTTAGGCCGTAAAGCAAGCCAGGTTTGGTGCCATCATGAACATTTTTACTGGTACAAGTGATTTATCAATTTTTCTTCACTTAAGAAATTGTTAGTTGCATAATTCATTGTGGAACTGTACTGATTCTAGTTTTTGGCCTGGCTCTGATAGACTGATATGATACATTAAAGCCTAAAGATTTATCAGCTGGCAGCCTGGCAGCACAAACAGGGGCAGCGCCAGGGCTGGGCCAAGTTTGTGGCTAGCCTAGCCTGATCATACTCTCCATGACCCTTTAGCATTTAAATGGGCTTCTGGGACTGCCTGGGGCTAAAGCCCTAGCTGCCCAGTCCTGTCTCCATCCCTGAGTTCAAAACCCCCCAATCATAATAAAGAGAGGCTAAAATGGCTAATGTACAAGCTCGTTTGCATCAGCAAATAAACAATTGCGTAATAAACCAAATTTCTGTGTTTTGGCAAGAGATTCACCTTGGAACTGTTTCAGCTGATGTTCATGCATTATAATTATACAATGACTGTAATGGTGCTGTACCACTCTATTTAATTATTGACTGTTCTTAGTCAGTGTTGATTAAATATTTTAAGACATTAATTATAAATGTATCAAGTCCTGAAGGTACAAAAGTACTGATCATTCTACATTTTGTCTATATGTGCTTGTGGCTCGTGTATACTTTTAGAACAAAGATATCCATATTCTCTTGTTTGTCAAATAAGTTCTGATGTTTGCTGCAATGAGCATGTCCCTTTCAAACACATTATTTGAGTGATCTCGATACTTCTGTTTGCTGTGAACAGAAATATCTGCTTAGAAAACTGATTGCAATTACTGTAACAGGTGTATGTTATTGACTATGGCCTTGCAAAGAAGTACCGGGACCTCCAAACTCATAAGCACATACCATACAGGTACTTGCAACTGTTGTTTAAAAGGAATTCTTGTAATGTCCCGAAGATTGTCCTAGACTTCTAGTACAGAACTAGCTTAACAAAAAAAAAACCATTCCTACATTTGAGGTCCTTAACATGTTTGCGCGTTGTTCAGTCTGGCACATAAGCTCAATGTTTTGCTCATACTTGCACAAAGCTCGTGCGTTGCTGGTAGGAACTTGTACCCTACCAGGCCTTGGGCGTAAGCAGTAAGGGAAGGAGGGAGCTGGGTGAGGCGATGAGCAGCCGCGCCGGCGGTTTGGCGCCGTCGCGGGAGAGGAGGGAGATGGCGGCGGCGGCTAGGGTTCCGGCTCCTCTGGGAACCGGGCAATAGAGATAATAATCTTCTTATTGCTTAATTCCAAAAAGAGTCTTACAGCCTATATTTATAACCTAGATAACTTGCAGAAGAATTAACCTAAGATAACTTGCATAAGAATTAACCTAAGATAACTTGTGGGCTAAGATTGCCCGGTGGGCCTAGCTAAACCGGCCATAACAGTTGCTACGAACTACGAAGCCATAAAAAAACAAGGAATTATCACTGGTCTAGGAGGTCGTCAAAAGATCATGGTGTCTTGCAGCTATTGCATGGTTATTAAAGAGTGTGTGAATATAATAGAAGATCATGTTGCAGTCGCTAAAGAGTTTCGAGCGACCATAGTTGGTCCTTTGTAAGATTTATAGTGAGAGAACATTTTGAATTTGGAACATAGGAGAATGGGTGTGAGTAAGCTGAATGCACAAGATCGTGGATTAGGTAGGAGGACAACATCTATCGCCGCGTTGAATTGTAATTTCTTGCCCTCTTTTGCTATGACATGGAACCAAAAGAGTTGGTTGGGCAGAGAAACTAAAATCAAGACCATGATTTTGAATTGGAGTGGCATACTTGCATTTATAATTTGTGTTTCTTACAAGGAGTGTTATTCCCACATTACTTCATTAGGGTAGCAGTGTATTTGTTTATTTGGGATAGGTCTCACACCTAGTAAAAATAACATTTGTTTATTGATGTATTTTGGAAGGTTGCTAGTCCCACATGTGGGTAGAAGTGCATTTGTTTATTTGTGTGGTCCCACATGTGAACTCACCACCAACTCCAACCTTTATAAGTAGGAAAGACTATCGTTAACAGCTTTTGGCATAGTGTGATGTAACTTTGCTTGGCACACTACCTGTGGTACAATATCAGCTACCAAATGTCTAGGTTCAAAGCTAATTTTTCACTATTGTGCTTTGTAATGCCTGAAATTTGAGTTGATTAGCAGTACTAGGAAGAAGGGAAACTTTGAAACCAAAATATCACCAGCAATCCTACTTGAGGAATTTGTAATAATGGGCATCACATAATTTTTCACAGCTGTGCACTAATAAATCTGGGCATTCGTCCAGCCGGGTTGGGCTTCAAAAAAGCCTGGCATGAAGGAACCAAGCCTGAGGCCTGAAAATTTACTTTCACCAAGCCTGAGCCTGCCCCGGTGTAGAAACCTGACAAAGGCCCAGCCCGAAAACTCGAAGTTCCTGCTCCCCCAACTGAAAGTTCGCTGCTTGTACAGATCGATCCAAGATCCAAAAGAAATTCCATTTGTACCACACGTGATAACCAACAAAAACGTTTGTTAATTTGTAGCTTGACAAGATCAACTCACCGATACATGTATATCAGATTCAAAAGGTATCTATTATCCGTGTGTTACCGTGAGAAGATCCCTTCACCACTAAGATACAATCAACCAAAATATTTACATTAAATTCGAAACATTGAAAGAGTGTGCTTACGGACATGAGCCAAACTTAAATAAGTTGATTGATTCACAGCTATAAACCAGGAAACGGTTAACTTGTAGATCGAAGCAGAAGCAGCAGTTGTCCTCAACGGCTCTACACAGCTGCGCAGAAAGTATAGGCGGCCTCAACACAGCCGCGTGGGAAGGCGGTGGGAGGACACGGCCTCGACGCAGCGCCTGGTGACAGCAGCCGCTGCGGTGCCTGGTGACCTCTGCTGCTACGCGTGGTGAGCGACCCCATGTAGAACGTGGGGTTGCAAGGGACTAGGGGAGCCGTCATGGTCGGACAGGGCTGCGGCAGCTTGGAGCCTTGTGTGTGGGTAGGGCTGCAGGCTAAGGGCACGTTTGGAACACAGGATTCCAAAACACATGAATAGGAAGGGTTGCAGGTGGAAAACAGAGCATCGTGAAGCATAGGAATTTTTTACAAGTCTGTTTGGAACATAGGAAAAGGAAAAACACAGGAACTATTAATGAAGTGGATAATAATGTTGAACATGCTTATTAAGGAACTTCACTCATTTTTTATTATAACAAAACCATATGTATAAACCTTTCATGCACGTCCAATCAGCCCAATGAGACAGACTGGGGCCACTAGAATGAGGGCCTACCAGTCAGAAGAGAGGGGAGAGAAAAACAAACCAATGTACTCAGTACTCCTAATCCATTCCTTCTCAAATCGTCATGCTTCTCCTAGTCTGCGACCCCATCTTCCAGGCCTCATAATACACTAGTATTTCATCCCAGACTACCTAATCTACTACTATTTTGTTCGTTCCAATGCATGGACGTGGCCACATGGAGGAATTTGTCATCCACAGCGCACAGCAGCAACATGCACCTCGTCTTGTGGCAGCTAACAACACTGTTACAGTCTTCAAAACTTTCCCGATCTACACCGGACTCGGGCTTGGTAGATGTGGTTGCGTCCAAGACGATTTGCCTTGATTGACACAAAGGAAGGAAAAATGAGGATGAGGTTCTGATTTGTTGTTTCCTGAGGTTTTCTCATGAAACTGAAGTGATAGGAAAGTTTCCTTCGCATTTCATGCAGTTGGGTCCTGCACTTCAAAGGGACTACTGGAAATTTCCCCATAAGGAACTCTTTCCCCCCAAAATCCTCTAGAAATCATGTGTTCCAAATGACCCCTAAGGTTGTGTGGAGCGGAATGTCGCTTGGGTTATCAGGGAGGCGAATATTATATGGCGACTGGTGTTAGGTGGAGTTCAGATCTCACATGTTGTGCTGTTCGGGCCCGGCTGGGCTATGTTCAGGCTAAAAACTGAAGCCCGAGCCTGGCCTGTGATTTTTGGGCTGGGTTGTCGGGCTGGGCTGCATGCCCACATTTAGGCACTAATGGGGATTAGCCTTTATTGGGTAAAAGATAGGGTAATTCAAAATTGCACCCGGGGGAGGCAGGCAGTGCTCCTAGATGGGGAAAATGAATTTTCAAATTTTTTTACAAGGAAAATATTTACACATGTAAATGGATGTAAATTTTCATGTTAAAATGACAAGTTTGATGCCCTGTGTAAAAGTCCAAGTGTGGTGCTTAAATAATTGCTTTTCTGAGGACTGGTGGGCACAAAACCTGTCCTTTTTTCATGAAACTACATGCACAGAAAATACATGAACATGTACATGTGTCCATTTAAAAAAAACAATAAACATTTTTTGCATGCTTATTGTTCATCCAGTGTTCCTGGGAGCTAGTTCATGGCCCCATAAAATATGCAGTTTCTCCATTGAGATATTTCTTTCGTGTATGATTCTATCTTCATATTTATTTGGATATGTACACTTGGATCTTACATGTTTTTCTTTGCTACCATAGGGAGAACAAAAATCTTACAGGAACAGCACGTTATGCTAGTGTAAACACCCATCTTGGAGTAGGTGAGTATTGCTACTTGTGAACTTGTGTTACTTCAACATCAGCATAGATTTCTTTGTTCAATTAATAACAAAGATCAAGGCGTATTCTGTAAAGATCAAGGCCTATTCTGTAAAGTTGTTGAACAAAGCATAGTTCTTTTGAAACCTTAAGTTTCGCCGTTATCACAAAGTTAGTCAGCAACAATTTCTGAAATGCCTTAATTTTCTAGTTGTGAGTGATTAAGCATGACTCTTCCGCTGATTGCTGGTACATGCTATACTAATGGGTTTTCTCTACAGAACAAAGCAGGAGAGATGATTTAGAATCTCTCGGTTATGTGCTGATGTACTTCATAAGAGGAAGGTAGGACATGTATTACTTTTCTAGTGGTTTAAATTCCTTTTTGGCTGTTGAATATATTTCACTGACCTATATAACTTGTCTCTCACAGCCTTCCTTGGCAAGGTCTGAAAGCTGGCACGAAAAAACAGAAGTATGATAAAATTAGTGAAAAGAAAATGTTAACTCCAGTTGAGGTAATTAAATGTGGTTTCTTTGACAAACAATTCTACAAAGAAGTTTGGTGTATCTTTCACTTGTAATATAATCTTATGTATCACTATTTGCACAATTTTGGATAGGTCCTTTGTAAATCTTATCCATCGGAGTTTGTTTCATACTTCCATTACTGCCGATCCTTGCGTTTTGAAGATAAACCAGATTACTCCTATCTGAAGAAACTCTTCCGAGATTTATTTATTCGTGAAGGTACTATCAATAAATATAGTAGTTTGAAGTTTCTATGCACCTACATCTTATACAGTGTCTGATGGATCTTATAGGGTACCAGTCTGATCATATATTTGACTGGACTGTGTCGAGGCAATTAGCAGAGAATAACAGATTGCGAGTATGTCCTCCATTCCTCTTTCCAGTTGTTTTTAGTAGTGCAAGCTTGATTGTACTGAATGTGTAGCATTGTTGTCCTCTGTCAGCCAAGTGGAAGGACAGCTGGGTTGGTGGGACCATCTGCAGAACGGGCTGAACGGATTGCAGGTTTGTCAGTTGCATGCACATTTGCAAAAGTTTATATTCAAGAAATAAGCTATGCAGGGAGTGTAATTGCTTTTTGTTTCCTTGTTTAACAGCAAGACAGGATGGTCCTGATAGATTCTCTAGTTCAGTGGAAACATTTGCCAGAAGAACTGGCTCTGGTTCTGGCCATCATGGAGAAAACACGAAGCACAGAACTCTGTTTGATTCTCTGTTGGCACCTAAGATGGTTAGAAGTGCTCAATTTTAGTTTAATATTTGATTTATTTCAACACAATGTCTGCTTGGTGATCATGCACGTACTTCTGAATGCAATTCGCCATGTTTGTACAAAGCAGCATTTGATTGTCAACACTTATACTTACAAAGGCATACCTATGGCTTTAGATGACCAATATGGATGTATTGGATAACTGAAAGTCTTACAACATTTTTACCATGTATGCTAGGCTGCTGATTCGGATAAAAGAAGGCCTACATCATCCCGGAATGGGAGCACATCGAGGAAGGCTCTCCTGTCAAGCAGCAGACCAAGTTCTGGAGAGCCCAGTGACCCCACTCGCACTAGCCACCTAATCCCAACTAGCAGTGGCAGCAGTCGTCCATCAACCACTCAGAGGCTTCACCAATCAACTGGTCTTGAGGCCAGGTCCTCCTCGCTGTCGAAAACTGCGAGAAATGTCCATGATGATCCCACGATAAGGACATTTGAGCGCCTTACAATTAGTGCAGACAGGAGGAAATAAAAGGTTGAAGAGTAAAAAGATTTCAGTTGCTGTCATGAGTGTGGGCACTTGGATTCTTTCAGCTCCAGATGATGCTCACTGGTCAGCAAGATAAATGATGTTGTGCTACACAAGATGCCGAGGAATGCATATAGCGAAGGCGGCTCATCGAATCTTGGCATGAATGATTGAGCACTGTTATTTCAATGTCTGTTATTTTGAATGGTTAAAGAAAATGTTTTACACCATTCTGATGGGCCTGGATCGGCTGCATGGATTGGCCGTGCTGGCCCAATTGATGTTAATGTTGAATCAGACACTTGTGGAAACACTATTCAAATAAAACAGTTTATCAGACATTCAAAATTATTCATGTGTTTGTTATGGTTATTGTACCTGTACATGAAAGTGTTGACGCATCAGTTGTTAGGGTTTAGTTACTTGCATCATTGAAGTTGTGCAAAATTCGAAGTCATTATGTTGTTGTTCTTCTAGCCTTTCTCGTGCAAAGACGTGGCCAAATATGCCTCAGAGTGAACTTATTTACTGCT